ATTAGCTAAAATAGTTAGTTAATTCGTGGTGTTGTAATAATTAGCTAGCATAGTTAAATTATTTCATTTGGTTTGTAATAGTTAGTTAAGTAGCTTAACTAATTTATTTATTCGAACCCTCTTGAGCGAGGGCCAATACGTAATAATGTGTATGTCTTCCAACCCCATGTCTTTCTCCTTTTTATTTACCTGCTTACAATGGGTAGTTTAGAACATCATGTTTCTTGTAGCATTTCCCATGTTTGCATTCATTTTTCTTGCATGAATTGATGATCAGTTCATCATTCTAACAAGTATTGTTGTTTATTACTTTGTTGAATACGTGTTTAAACCGTATGATATCAAATTGATTCACATGTCATGATTAGTGACTGAGCCTATTAATTGCATTTTTGCATGTGTTGCATTAGGCATATTTTGCATTAGTTAGGACCATGCATTTTTCTAACTGGTTTCTCTTTTGGCTCGCCTCGGGAATTAGGGTAAGCATTTATTTCTTTAGCATATCGCATGCGTGTGATTGTTGCCATGTCTAGCATGCTTGGCATAAGGCTAATTGCTTAATTGATATACTTGCTTGAATGCCTGTGGATGAAGGCTAATTGCTTGAATTGGAATAATTTGAGTAATGTATATATGAGATCACTTTTTCAAGTGGTACATATTTGAACAATTTTTAAAAACAAAACATGAAATCAAATGTTTCAACTTTTGCAAATTAGTCTATACTTGTGTGCAACACATAGTAAGTTAGTCTAATAAATCGGAACAAGAGCATGTAATATAAATAAGAATCACATCATGATTAGTAGAGGCCAATATTTGATTAGGTGAGTGGGGTGCTCAATTCATGACCTTTCCATCTTGTACCTAAGTTCCTGAGCTGAGACACTTTGGTGATGACAGATAAGTGGCCTTTGGCACGAGTCCCATAAAACATTTAGGTGGCGACTCTGTATCTTGCAAAATAGTCCATTTTTGGCATTTTGATTCAAAATTGATTTTCTAAAAGATTTGTCAGATTTAGACTCTTTTGTGTTTATTTGTTTCACATTGCACTTGTGGAATCAGATTCAGAACCACATGAGTCCGAACTGTAGGGCTAGTCGTATCCGAAAGGGGCACAAAAAGTCGAGCTACACACACCTTCTCTCTCTGAGTTCTTAACTTCTAGCTCTAAATACTCTCAATCCGTTGATTTCTTCACCCTAGTCCCTTGGAGAAAAACGTTGAGCACGTTGAGGGCTTCATTCTAATCGAAAAAGTTAGTGTTTTCAGCTTCATCAAGTTCTACCCTTTGTTTCCACTTGTCTTCTACTTTAAGGTTGGGATTTCTTTGACTCTTTTATATGATTTTTAGCTTAGTTATTTGCTCTTTGAAAATGGTTAATGATTTGGAGATTTATGGGAGAAATCTAGGCTTTGGGTTTGAAATCAAAAGAGGGATTTTCCAAATGGGTTCTTGGAAATGGTTGCGGGGATGTGTTTATGGGTGAGATATGTTAAAATGGTGGATATCCCTTCTTGAAATTGATTTTGCAAAATAAAGGAGGTTTGCCCCAAATTTCGGATATTGGAATTGTGCAAGGAAATAGAAAATGTTGTGGGTTTTGTAAGATTGAAACGATGGTTATGTTGGTGATGATGGTGGAGTTGGATATATAGTATCATTCCCATTGTAAAAGGATGGAATTGTATATTTTGATTGGAAACTGTCTATGCATAGAAATAACTGTTTTGGGCTATCGGCGGAGGATAGTCTTGATTGTTGTAGACATTGCATGATGATTAGGTTGAATTGAAACTAATTTCTTATACATTGTGCATTTAGCATCATTTTATACTGAACATTGTAAGTGTATTGTTTTTTAGAAAGAGAGGGCGAATACCTTGGTGAATCTAGTTAGGGGATGTGGTTGTGGTTATAATGTTGGCCTGTGTGTCTTTGGTGAAAGTTCAAAAACCCACTCCGTTAGGTGTCGATCTTCCCGGTTAGTACAAGTAAAATGGATTTGGTAGTGCTTGTATAGCCTACTAGCAGACATATACCTAGAGATTCCAGTGTGTTGTATCGACTGCCTTGTTTTCTATTATAAAGGTTACTTTTCGTGAATTGATTTATAATCTGATATTACAATGTTTTGAGATGGAAAATGATGAATGTATGACAAATGGCATGCATGTGTATTCACTTTATAATTTTGCTAAGATTCATATACTGTGTTAGAGTATCTCATTGGACTGTGGCTGATCCTATGTGGAAAACAACTTTCAGGTGCTACTGATATGCCTCCACCAAGGACGTAACTTGGGAGGACTTGGAGCTAAATGCGTCATTTTTGTTTATTGATGTAATTATTTTTGTTTAAGCCTCGACTTTACCTATATTGAGTTAAACTCATTTTGTTATACCTAAGCATCGACTTGGAAAGTTGGAGCCATTTGGGTATATAATTATTTGGTTTTACTTTTACTTTATTTCATGTATCCATGTCATATGCTATAGATTAGAATCTAGGGTTTTATGAATCTATATTGCATATGTCATCTTTTGTATTAATCAAAGTTATGAATGGAATAGAAGATATGATATTGTTGACCATTTGTAAGAAATGTTATGAGTTGGATAATTGTTATTTATTTTGGAGCGTTACAACTCGGCATCAGAGATACTGAGGCAATGGGTTCTTTTTTTTTATAATAGTAGAAATAGACCAGGTATGCTATGTGATAACATGCTTATGTGACTACATATGTATGGAATTTAATTTCTTAGATATTGATTAGGTCTCTGAGTTTCTAGAAGTCCTGTTAGAAGAGTACTTGATCACTGTTATTTCTAACTGGAACTCTGGCAATGTTGCAGGACGGTCACTATCTAGAAAGAAAATTCGTTTGTGTTTATTTGATTAAGTGCTTATTTAGAGTGAATTAATTGTTGTCCATCGCATTAGGACATGAGTTAATTAGCTTCAGTACATTTGTGAATGTGCTAATCTATTGTGTTACCTTTATTAGGATGTTAGGACATGGTGGTAGTAGGCGTGGCAGGCCTAGGCGGTAGGAGGTGCCGTTATTAGATGATATTCCAGTGTAAGAGGTTCAGGGAGAGACTTGGGACAACAAAAGACAGAGGGGTTCCACCCCATAGCAGTCCCAGGTAGTACAATTTAGATCCACTTTTCATATACCGAGTTTTGATTCAGGGAGGAGTAGTTAGGGTGGGATCACTTGCTTTAAGTGTGGTCAACTGGGCCATAAGTCTCCAGTTTGCCTGCAGAGAGGAGGAGGGCAGCAGTCTGTGTCATCTACGGCTCAACCACAAAGCTAGAGCTAGAGTCAGAGGAGAGGGTAGCTAGCTGCCTACCTATTATCAGTGTGGGCAGTTGGGGCACTTAAAGAAATTTTGCCCTCAGACAGGTGGCAGTCACCAAGGTCACATTAACTTGTACTTTTTATTTAAGTCAAGCACTTGTTGGAAAATGCACAGTAGTTGTCTCCAGTGGTGTAAGTCGACCGGTGATGTTTTGTTCTATATCCATTTTATTCTAACAAGCGTAAAAGGGTGTGTTTGGGATAGTTTTTTCTTTGTTTTCATTTCCTTGAGTTATATTTTGTGCTTTGGTCAGTTATAGGCTCAATATTCAGTTTAGAATTCATTGAAATGCAACCATTTTCAATTTCAAAATTCAAAGCAAAATGGTTTTCATCCTCAAGTGCCATTCATGCCATTCAAACTTGCAAAACAAACTCTTTTCATTAAATATCAGGGATCAAACCTCGATCAAAGTGGTACAGGAGAGAGTTGAATCTATAAGTGTCCACTCCCAAGAAAAAATACACGAAAAAAAAACAATAAAAAAAAGGAAAAACAGAGAAAACAAAAGAAAGATGGAGGAATTTTCTTGGATCACTGGTGGTAGCCCGACAATTACAAATCGACGTCATTTGCAAATGGCTTCATTGTTTGACTCTCCGTCAGTTGCCTCACCACATCTTCACTCCTTGGAAGCTCTTGAAGACTCTGCTTCAGCATTTGTAGAGCTTCCTAAGAGATGACTCCCTACTGCCCATCAAATGAGGAGCACCAAGGAGCTCCAAATTGTGTTGCGGAGGTTGCTTGGCATTTCAGCTCTGTATTTCATTTTTTCAATTGGTTAATCTCCTTTTCCAGCATCTTAAAACATGCTATGGAAAAGAGAAAGTTGTGCTTTCAGCTATTGCGCCTCATTTGTCTTTCTATGCAACTGGCAGGACAAATTGGAGACCACAGTTACGGTCTCCACATAGGATTTTAATGTATAAGAGTTGGCATTGTTGTCAGAGTGCGCTGCCATTAATTGCTTGACTGACAGCACATAAAAATTGAAAATAGGGATAGGGGTAGGGGTAGGGGCACTCTATCAGAAGAGTTGGTGTCGGTAATCTCTATCGGGGATTCATTAAGGTCTAGAAAAAGGGAAAATAAATTAAGAAAAGGCCATGTCAGAGGGTAGTAACATAGAGTTTACAGAGTAATGGCACAGAGGGATTTTGCAGTTTTGCTCTCTACTCTACTCTAACTCGTAGGGCTCATTTAAGAAGAGGATGGAGGAAGAAGAAGCTAAAGAGGGATTGCCGAGGCAATCGTTGAAAATCAGGGTCGGTCCAACTGTTGTTGATCAGGGGCCGCGATTGTTGAAATTATGTGCCAAACGTGACAGTCGAAGAAGACAAACAAGGGAGAGAGAGACAAGAACAGGGGAAAGAGATATGTATATATTGTGTATATATATATGTAAATGTATCTGTATGTATATATGTACATGTATTCATATGTTTTTGTGTATTTGTATGCCTATTTGTATATATATGTCTATGTATGTATCTGTATATGTATGTATGTATATGTATATGTATATTGATGTATGTTGCATGTATAACAAAACAAGAGAGTGAAAAGAAAAAAAACAACATAATTTCAAAAAAGAAGAAAAGAAATAGAAAAATAAATTTGTGGATCAATCAAATACGGTTAAAACCTTCTCCTTCTCCATATGAAATACGATTAGGTACGTGTCACGACCCAAACCCGCCCCTATAGGTTTAGTGTCATGACCGGCCAGTAATCCTAAGATTACCGAAGGCCTCTTAAACAAATACATAATATTAGGGACTAGCAGAAGCAAAATACAAACATACATCGTCCATTGAGTTGTGCAGACTTACATGAGATAGACAATATTTAAACTTTTTCTTTTTTATATACATATATTATCACATCAATCATGCATCAGCACATATATAAAGAAGACAAAAGGGACTTAGCCCTATATACAGAATAACCAAAAACTTAAACTTTAACCACATAGCCTCGGCATTTGACATATTCGGAACCTCCATGGGAAGCACATAGGTTGGTTGACAAGATAAAGTCCAGGCAGAAGCTCTAGGCCTGGTTACGCGCTTGATCATCTATATGCATATATAACATAATAAGCTAAAACCCAGTGAATAACAATAGTGTAAAGAGGTTATGAATGATGTCCTTACTGCAATCCAAATCGGCCAATTTTAGTAATAAACAAAAAATCATAATCATATGCTTAGCAGATCCATATTTCATACGGAAAGAATAGTAGTTATACATGGTACATCTAATAGCAAAACAATACAGGTGGTCTCATGAAGACCGAACAGACGGTCACGAAGACCGTCAATATAGTAAACAGGAGTTCCAAGAAATGGAACTGACAGAGATCTTTGTAACAATGATAGTAAACAGGTGCTAAGGATGCCACGAATACAGTTTAAGAAAATAGGATCATCATTCATTAAGCCAAAGAACCATTTCAGAATAGAGAATAGTGTAACACAGAAAATAAATACTTTTACTTAAACGTATCTCTACAACAATGTTACTCACAGATAGCTCCAGAGAAAGAGTAGACGGACCATAGCACGTGACCTACACAAACACAAAACAGATACACATTGAAACACAATATCATTTCCTTGATCAAACTTAACTTTTCTTGTCTTTTTGCTATTTAAGTAATCTAAAGTTCTACTGTGCTTATTCTTTCTTTATTCAGATGAATCGGATTCTCATTTTACATATTTTTTCATTACCAAATCCTTCTTTTCCAGACAGACTGATTTCTTACTTGGCTTCTTAATAAATTACTACTAAATCAATGATTTCAAACTTTTTCTTCTTTTGTTTTATAAAACATAAAATTAAAGCTATAAAGCTTTTAGGAGCATCTTTGCATGTACGAAATTTAATTCATAATCAAACCAATTTTTAATTCTCAAATTCTAAATTTAGCCAAATTTAGCTTTAATTCATTTTCTTCATATCAAACCCAATTTTAAACCCACAAATTCTAACACATGAATTAAACTTTCAAAATATCATTCCAAAACTTAGGTTTAAACATGGCTTGTCTAAAAATATACAAACTTTTAAATAATTAAGAAAACTTGATCATTTTTAAACCATTTACCTATAATACTCTTCTTCAAAGTCAATTATATATTCCATTGTATGGATCAAGTCTTCAAACAATTTTTGTTGGATGTAATTTATAGAGCTTAAGTCAAGCCTAATTCTCAAAATTGAACCCAAACTTAACAAATTTAAAGAATCATAACTCATATTCTTCAACCTAACTTAATTTAACATCCAAAACCCAAAAGTCATTAATTGATAGAATTAATCTCCAAATTCCTTTCATTATTTCTTTCCAATTACTTGAAATTGAACCCAATTATTTCTTAATTTCAGCTCTTAGCTAAATTATTTATAAAATCTAAGCTTCAATATCTTACTCAAAATCCAATTTCTTACAAAATCCATAAGATTAATTCCATAGCTTTCTTACTTTCAAGTTCAATTTCTCAATTCATCCAAATTATATACAATTGAACCTAATTTCTTTCTAATTCCATAACTATAATCTCAAATCCTTCTCAATCTCAAGTATTATAAAAAGATTCTATAAAAGTAAACCAAACATAATTAATTTCTAAATTCCCCAAAACCATGATTCTAGCTCAATTTCCTTCATTTTCTCCTTAATTCCTTCCAATTGCAAGATATTGATTCTAAATTCATCTTTAATTTCAAGTGAAGTATAAAGATTTTACAAAAATCAAGCATGATTTCATACCTTGAACTTTAATCTCAAGAAGTTTAGTTGATTCCCTTCAATTCCATGCCTTAGCTAACTTTTTCTTCCATATTTCTTCTTCTTCTTGGACTCTTGAGTTAGATTTCCAGCACAAATCTCTCTCTCTCTCTCTCTCTCTCGATTTTCTTCTCCTTCTCAGTGCTCTCACTTTTTTTTTTCCTTTCCTTCTTTGAGCTCACAATGCTTCCAACATACACACATGAACCCTTATATTGGTATGTATATATATGTATGTCTATTTGTTGCCTCAAAGCTTCTAGAATACACCAACACTCAGACTTCTCTACACACCCACACCCATATACACCCTCCAATTAGATTCTTTCCTAATTTAATTTATGTTTGGGATTAATTTAATTAAGCAATATTTAGGCTTACTAAATCTCGATTAACACATAATTAAATTAATCATAACTGATCACAAAATCCCATATAATTTAATTAGTTTATTTGACTTCCTTTAGAGCCCAATTAATTATATTTAAATTTATTAGTCTGAATCAGATTTTTAATCAAACTTCCAAAAGGCTCCAAATATCGAATTAAAATTATTTCCATCTTCAAATTTAGTTTCTCACATCATCAAGGCCTTCCATTTCAGATCAAACTCAAAATCTTCGTCAAAAAATTACGTACTCAATTAAATACCTCATAAATAAGTTGTATTCATAATAATCTTAATTCTCAATTCTCATAACTTAATTAACTCCAATTTAGACCCACTTAATGAAATATCAATTTTACTAAACTGTATCGAATATTTAATTAAACTCTCATAGGGTCCAATGCTCGAAATTAAAACAATTCAAGTCACCAATTATACATTCTTGGGCTATTTAGGCTTTTAATTTCTAATTCCAAAATAAATCCTCAATAGAATCATATATGAATTAGAATAATAGGCAATTAAAATTTAAATCTCCTTAATTAATTATGTGCTAATTATTATACGTGATGGGGTCATCACAGTACACCTGTTAGTTAAATCACATTTTCTCATTTCGCGTGAAACGCGTTAGGATTTCGAGATTATTGGTTAAAACCTTCTCCCTCTTCGTATGAAATATGGTTAGATACGCTTGTTGGTTAAACCACATTTCCTCCTTTTGCGTGAAACGCGTTAGGATTTCCAGATTACCTAGTTAAAACCTTTTCCCTCTCCATATGAAATATAATTAGGTACACCTATTGGTTACTTCACTATTCCTCCTCTCGCGTGAGATGCATTTGTAGTTTAAGTTCACTTTTTCTCCTCTCGTGTGAGACGCGTTTGGACTTCAAGTTCACCATTCCTCCTCTCATATGAGACACATTTGGAGTTCGAGTTCACTATTCCTCCTCTCGCATGAGATGTGTTTGGATCTAAGGTTCACTATTTCTCCTCTCATGTGAGACGCGTTTGGATCTTAAGTTCACTATTCCTCCTCTTGCGTGAGATGCGTTTGGAATTCGAGTTCACCTTTCTCCTCTATTATTTATGTTGTGGCACATTTGTATGCAATGCATTCTCTCTATTATTTGTATGCGATGTACCCCCTATGATGCTTCATATCAGTTGCCCGAGGCTTGCCTCTCATATCACCATCTTCATATCTTTATCATCATTTCATTGCATTGCATTGCATAATCATGAATTTCAAAACAACAGGCTATGCGAAGTGTGTAAGTCCAACTTTTAGATTGCATTTTGAGCATATCAGTTGCATCTTGCCCCTGAACTACGCTAGTTTGATTCCTTGCAAAAGGATACGTAGGCAATCCTCAGGTTCAACCAATTACATTTGCATCTTGTTTGTTTGCCCAAGTCTTAAGGCCTTGTCAAAAGGGTCATCTTCAAGCTTTGATATTCACTCACGTCATGAAATGGCTTTGAGTTCTGTCAAAGAGAGGCAACCGTAGACACCTCATTTTGACTGACTCAAAGGCTTGGCCACTTTTTTTTGATTACCTGATGATGAAAATAAGAATGGGTTTTGTGAAAAATCCTCAATAAAAAAAAAAGATGAAATTTGAGCTTTAATCTTCACCCTAAGTCTATTTTGGCTAAGTGTTTAGGTCCCATCGGGCACCGGAGCAAAGCTGGACTGAACCGGAGCAAAATGGCTAACTTTCTCACTGGCCGATCGACCACCTGATGATAGATTTGCCCAAATTTTTGTTGGTTTGGCCAGGGGACTTCACAACCCCATTTTTTGACCCATTTATGCATTCAATGCATGTATACTCAACCTTCATTGCCTAGTGCTTGATCCATTGAAGGCCATGCTCCATTTTTGTCTTCCATTAACTCCATTTGTGCTCCATTAGCTCCATTATCTTCCCTAAATGCTCCATTAGTTCTCCACTTTGTCTTCTACCATTGCTCCACTTGCATTGCCTATATAAGGAGAGCTCAATTCTTGAGTTTTAAGGGATGAATTTGAGCGAAGAAGTGTAAAAAGAATGTTGAGTTTGAATTAGAGTTTGAAGAGAAAAGAAAGCTTTGAAAATAAGATAGTTGTCTTGCCAAAATAGTGAAGTTACATAGCCTCTATGTATCTCATCTTTCCTTGCAAAAACTACTTAAGTACCAAGTCCTAAAGCTTTGATAAAAGCGAGAGTAATTCTTGCCGACCCTCATTCTATCTCAAATTCCAAGCTCTTGAATTAAGGATTGAGATCATAATTCACAACCTTGAGGGTGATAAAGAGAAAGCTTGGAAATCAAGAAGTTTAATCTTTATTTGAAAGGTGAATTTTCAATTCTTTCATTTTTTTTTTTTGGTATTTTCTATCTTATATTTGTTTTCTTGCTTTCATTTCATATTGTTTTGTTGTAATCTAACCAGAAGTGGTTAGTTTTCAATTATTTTATTTTCTTGCACTTTCTATCTTGTATTCATTTTCTTGCTATAGTTTCATATTAGTCTTATTGTAATCTAACCGGAAGTGATTGGTTGAGCCACCTATATATTCTTCGTTTGTTCTTTTCTTGGTGTTGCAACAAGACATGTTTTGCTAGGCTTAGTTGACCGGCCAGCCTAGTTAGTCAGTAGGCTAACTTCTTTTGGAAGAAACGGAGTAGTCTTTCAGTGTTGTGCATACCAATTTTCTATGGTCTCCAAGGCACATGAAGCTTCTATTTTGCTTTCATTTGAAAGTTTTGTGAGGTTTTTTTTTTATTTTGTTTTTGTTGTAATATTTTCCTCCTCCCTATTTCATTTGGTTTGTAACTACTTATTTGAAGTGTTGTAATAATTCTTTGCCCCGTTTTTCTCTATCACATTCTTTTACTTGCTTTCCTTTGTGCATATGCATCATATTTTGTTTTAACTCCTATCCATGCTTTGCATTTATGTTTCACGCATCTTGATTTGTCTAAGTTTGCATTTGTGCATTTATTCAATTCCTATGTGTGATTATGTGATCTACCTCATGTTCTTGAGATGATTCACATGTCATATAGTAGAAGCTGAATCTTTAGTTGAATTTTATGATTGAATTGTATTAGAATTTTGTATATAAGATCATGCAAGTTTTGTTAACTTTGTTTTGTAGCTTTTCGCGGGACGTCGGTAAATATGTAAGTTTTTATGCTTTAACATCCAGCTTGTGCATGTTTTTTTTTACTATGTTTAGCATCCTACCATGTGGTTGCTTGCTTACTTGATATCACTATATGAATATCAGTGGATGGAGGTTGTGTCGCTTAATTTGGAATTATGTTGATTTTCATGTTTGTAAACTCTATTTCTTTGAGTTGTACATTTTCAATACTCTTTCAAAACACGTGAAATCAAATTGTTCCAAAATGAATGACATAGTTTATACTTGTATGCTTCACATAGTAAATTGTAGGATTTATTTAATAACCAGAATATGGGCATATAAAGTTAATAAAACTCATATCATGGTTTAGTAGAGGCCGATCTTTTGATCGGGAGAGCGGCGGTGCTCAGTTAATGGCCTTATCCTCTCATACCTAAGGTTCTGAGCCAAGCATCCTTGCTTACAACGAACAATGGCTCTGGCACGAGTCACGGGTTTTCTAATTTTTCCAAAATATTAGGTGGTGACTCTAAGATCTAGTGATGTAGTCCATTTTTGGCAAAGATTTTGTAATAAAACAGATTTTCTATAAAAGTTGCCAAGTCTAGACTTTCATCTATGTTTCACATTGTACTCGTGAGACTAGATCAAAGAAGTTAAGGGTCCGAACTGTTGAATGCGCACGGGTACCCCCTCAAGGATGTTACAGCAGGTCAATGGTGGAAGTATGGGTGAGAGCGTATTGGGGTGACTTGGGAGGCTTTTTCTAATGCCTTCCAGGACAAGTTTTTACCACCCATTTCTAGGGAGAAGTTGAGGGAGCAGTTTCTGAAACTGAAATAGTTGAACACACCCGTGGCCAAGTTTGAGGTGGCTTTCACAAGCTTATTGAGGTTTGCACGGGAACTTATGGAAATAGAAGAGGTTGAGGACGGAGTCCTTTTCATGGTGGCCAGGTCTATGATTAGGGATTACGGTCACTTAATGGAGGTGGTGACTCACTTAGAGACGGTGATTCAAACAGAGGAAGAGCCGATAAGAGGCTCTAGGCAGAGGAGCCAGGATGTTTAGGGGAATGCTAGGGCTAACAAACGGCAAAAGGGTTTCACCCCACATCATAGTTTAGATCCATCGTTCCCCTACCAAGTTTTGGATTGGGAAGAGGTAACGAGGGTGGTTTCACTTGCTTTAAGTATGGTCAGTTAGGCCATAAGTCTTCAGTTTGCCTTCAGAGGGGAGGAGGGCAATAGTCTACGCCATCCTTGACTCATTCTCAGTGTCAGGGCCAAGGGAGAGGGCAATCGCCTAACTGTTATCAGTGTAAGCAGTTCGAGCACTTGAGGAGGATTTGCCCCTAATCAGGTGGCACATCTGTATCGAGACAGACAAAGAGCCATCAACCAACCCAATCAGCATTGATCGGTGCCTAAATGTACATATTTAATCCCTTAATACACACTTTATTAGTTTATTAATTTATAATTTTGTGTGATTTTTGTGTGTTTGTATATATTTTAAGTGTTTTTACATAAATTAATGTAAGTAATACTTTTTAATATTATATATATTATAAAATAAATAAAATTAAAAAAAAGAGAAAGCAGGCCTCCCATGCCCCTCTTTCTCAATTATATATATATAGTAAAATATTATATTATT